ATCAGGAATAACCTTTTTATGTCCATTAGATATAAAAACAATTTGCTAATGTGTTAATTTGCATGTTTCCAGAGCTTGCTGTAGTTATATTGCAAAACAATGCATGTAAGCATTCTGCTTGGAAATTGTCCATGCTGCCAATTCAAAGATGACTGCATGGAAAACTGGTAGTTTAGAACAAATCAGATTCCTGATTTCAATGTACTAAGCACCAATTACTTCGTTGTATATGCTTGTACAAACAAATTCTACATATTCCTATAAACAAAATAAATGAAAAGACATAATTATGTTATTGTCAGTCCTGAGATGAAACTTTCAACTTCTCTAATAAAAACCTTAAAAATGCAAAACCTTTAGTTTTGACTGTAGTAAATTGTAGGGTGGTGGTATTATTACTTACCATTTTTTAGTAAGTTGTATTTCCTGTAAAAATGTGCATAGTGTAAATATATTTCTATCACAGCTTATTTAGTCAAAGGAGTCTTATTTCTTTTAAGCGATAGAAGAATTGTGCATCGGTCCCCACAGCACTACAGAACTACCTGAGTACAGTGTAGCAGCACTCCCTTGAGATGCAGCAACCAGAGTACAGTATAGCAGCACTACTTTGAGAATGCAACTGAGACAGAGGTCAGTGAAGTCTTTAGGTGTTTAAGGTAGAATTTAAACAAACTTGTGAAGCCTATGCAGAGTTCCCATTCTGATGTCACTTAACCTATGGAGGCACCTCCTGCTCCTTATGATCCATAGTGTTTTAAAGACAAGTTGTGTACAGGGAGCTCTCCCTGCTCCCTAAGCTTCGCTCAAGTGCTGGAGGGAGTTGGGAGCAGCACTGTTTCCAGAGCATGCTGGACAGGATCAAGCATCTCAAACAAGGCAGTGATTTTTATTGATTTTTTTTTTTAATTAAAAATGTCTTCTAAAACACGGCTGGTGAAGACAGTGCTGTGAGCTGGAATTGTATACTATTGCCTACTGCAGTGGTTTCTAGTCAGTAAGGAGAAGCAAATGACAGACCAGATACAGAGGGAACCGGATGGCGAAGCATTAAATGTTACTAGTTCAGGCTCACTTACAGCCTGGCTGGAAACCACTGCCATACCTGTTAAAATAAATAACTGGAAATGGAGGACTTGAGTTCAGCTCATGTCCCTCTCTGAGGAAAATCAAACCTGCCTGTCTTAATTCCCTGGTGAGTATTGTACGCATTGGGGAATACGATGGTTTGGGAAGGCTAAAAAATACTCTCCTTAGCCTCCTTTTGAGTCTGTACTCGCTGCTCAGCCAGGAACAAGACATTTATCAAGTCAGAGGATATGTGCTTCTGTGAAACCACGGCACTGGGTAGCCTCAGCTTCCAGGCTCAGCTCCCAAGAACTGTTACGTATTTCATCCATTGACAATTTAGCATAAAACGCAGACAGTAATTTGAAATTAAGTGATGAATTTTGTCAGCTAAGTATTTTGAAATGCTGTTTAAGTAGTATTTGATTCAAAAACTATTTGAAGTTTGGCCGCTAATGTAACGAGGTGAGAATTTCCATTGAGATGAAATAGGCTAATCAATTTGAACATTGATAGTGAGTTAAAGCAGTTTAAAATGTCATTCCCTGCCGGGGTGATGGATTCCACTTCAGTGAAATTTCATCGAGGGAAGTGGCAGATTCTCTGTCTCTGAATCTCTTTGGATAAATTCAGTGCAGCTGTGATGGGAAGGGTCATGACACCCTGGCCTCAGAGGCAGCCTGCTATTCTTTCAGTTCCATTAATTTGGGAGTTGCTCATTAACTTGACTGTTTCCAAGCGGGGGGCTGTTTAACCCCCACCCCACTCAAGTGCAGTCCAACTGGGTTGCCAGAGACCCAAAATACCCCTTGGGGGCTGATTTCCTTGCAGAGTCCACATGCCATTGCCCACGGGCTGCCTGTGAAGCCAGCTGCCGGTGGCAGACACATCCCAGAGCCGCTCGGCCAGAAAACCCTGCTGCCAGGGATGCGCCGGCAGTGGTCCCAGCACTGCAGCACCGCTGTTACCGTGCTGTGTGTGAGGAGGCTCGTGAGAGTTATTGCTGTCTGGTAGCTGGGGTGGTAGCAAGGGGGCTTCAGCCTTCAGAGATACACAGGCAGTCCCCACAGCTGGGGTAAGGGCAGGTTGCAGGGCTGGCTCCAGGTGGTCCAATCTGTGACCATAAACGGGCCCTGGTCACAGTATTTCAGATCAGCTAATGCTGCACTGGCTCCCTCAGGTAAGACCTTCCTGCTCTGTCAATGTTTTGGGGCTTTCTTAGTGTTAGGAAATCTTAGGCCTTTCCCTTTTTTGCTATGGAGAGCAGGATAAACCCAGCTCTGCAGGCTTGGAGTGAGGATTGTCACTGAAGCTGAAGGGGTTTTTTTGTTGTGCTGTGCAGCTGGCAGGTGCTGGGAGAACACGGTTCTGTGCCGTGGGGCTCAGGGGGCTGTGGGTCAGGCTTGCCGTTGTCTCTAACACAGCTGCTCTCTCCCAGCTGCTCCCTGTGGTACCCTCCTACATGGGCTGGACACAGGGGCAGCTGCTCAGGATCATATATTTATTTAGAGGCTTAGAAGCTACCTAGAAACCTCAAAAAAAATTGGAAATTAAATAGGGAGCTAGAGGAGGAAGTAGAGGCTGGTTAAATACTGAGGTCATTGGTGAAAGACCTGAGGAAGCCAGGCATTAAAATCATCACAGAAATAGTCTGTTGCAGTCAAAGAGCCTCATATAGAAAATTTTTTTTTTTCCTTTATATAGTTCCCTGGAAATATTACCTGCAGGTCAATCCTGTATCACAACTGACACGGGTCTGGCTCTATTTTGGGGAGCAGGAATGACTCCTTATCGTCAAACAGGAGAGAGAGGAGATGGCCAGAATGTAATATTTAATTTGTAAAGCAAGCAGAAAGGAATTGCAACAGAATAGTTAACAAAAATCGGTACGTTTCTTCAGTATCTACTTTTATTTTTAACAAGCTACTTCCCAGCAAGAAAACCCTTCTCCGCAGGTGTGCCCTGGCAGAGAAAGGGCAGCCTCCCAGCGGCAGCTGCGCACAATCAAAACTCACCTTGCAATACCTTGCTTCGCAAAACCCTGGACCGATTCCTCCAGACTCCTTTTCCTGAACTAGAAACGTGAATTGCTAGTGAATCCGTGTAACACCACACGCGCCAAACAGCTTCTGTCCCTTTGGCTTTTTACAAAAAAAATAACCTTGGCGATAGGCTCCTTTTCCCCGCTGCTCCTGGGACTTGGCGTCTCTGTAAATGGTAAATGTTTGGATGTGCTCTTCGTACGGGTCGAGGGCGGCAGCGCATTGAAGGGCCGTAAAAACTCCCGATGCGAGGCAGCGAAAAATGTTTTAACGTCGGCGAACGGGGGAGGCGAAACCCCGGAGCCGCGGGGGGTGGCGGTGGGGCCGGCGCTGCCCCGGGAGCAGGCGGCCGGGCCGGGCTCCGCGGCGGGCCGCGGTGCGAGCACTTCGGTCTCGTCCGCCGCTGGCAGCGCCTCCTGCCTCCCGGCCGCAGCCTCAGAGCCCCCGGGGGAAACCGGCAGCCCCCCCGGGCGCTCTGGGCTGGGAACGCGCCTGCTCCTCCCGGAGACCCCTCTCCCGACAAGCCGGGGGCCCGTTTCACCCCCGCCTCCGGGTCGAGAGGGAGGAAACGCAGGCGCCGGTTTTGCAGGGAATAAAGGGGATTGCCCGGCTCGGGACTCCGGCAGCGCTGCGCGCCCCGGGGCGGGCAGGGCAGGGTGCAGGCAGCCCCCCCGCCCTCTGCTCCCCAGAAGCCGGCAGGGATGGGGTGCGCAGTGCTTGTCTTCACCCCGCCTTGCAGCCTCTTCTCTCCCCAGCGCCGGGCCGCGGAGCCTGGCAGGGACGAGCTCTTGTCAGCGCCCCGGCACAGCTCGCCCGTGGCACAGCTCTGAGACGCGCCCCCAGGTGTGCCCCCCCCCCCCACCCCCCCCCAACGCTCCACGTAGGCACGGCCTGGATTGTTTTGATGCATCTTCTCGGTGCTGAGGGGACCGCTCCCCTCGCTCTGTGTGATGGTATGTCTTCCGTTACGGTGTGTTTTGTGGTATGTCACGACATCTGAAGAGCTCAGGTGTGTTGATGGCCGTTTACAAAAGGGTGCCGAGTCTGCTTCTGACCTTGCCACACAAAAATAGCTGCACGTTTCTTTCTAAATTAACACACGAAGCAGCTGTTCGCCTTCACCGAAATTACTGACGCTCCGTGAGCAGCCGGCGCTGGACTAGATAACCCCTCCTCCATCCCCTCCGCTGTCCCGGTTTAGCGGGTCCTTTGCCTCTCCGGCGGCGCTGGCGCTGCCCGGCGACAGCCGTCGTCCCCCGGGAGCAGCCGCCTGGCGCGGCACCGAAAGGGCAGGGAGGGTGGCAGGACCCTCGGGGAAGGTGCCTCGGCGAAGGCCCTGTGCCCCGGGCCGGTGTAGGGCTCGCCCCGGGGCGCGGCCCCGCTCCCACCCCCTGCCCTACCCTGCCCAGGGGAGCGGGGCGCGCTCGGTGCGTTTCGGCCTCGCTCCGGCCGCACGTCGGGGCGGCCCGGCTGGCCCGGGTCCCCCCCGGCTCCCTCCCCCGAGGTCCCCGCTCCCCGCGGGGATCCCCGCGAGCCCCTCCGCGGGGGTCGGCGGGACCCCCCAACGCCGGAGGAGGGGGGGAATCCCTCCTCCCCGCCCTGCCTCCGCGTACGCCCCGTCCCTCAGCGTGGGCGCCTCCATCAGCTCCGCCGGCATCTCCCCTCCTCCTCCTCCCCACACACCCACACACTCTTCCCCGTCCCTCCTCCCCGCCACGCCGCAGCAGAGTGCTTTTGCAGCCTGTGCAGCTCCTGAGAAAGGAGGTGTTTCAGCGGGTTTTTTTTCCTCCTTTTTTTTAAACATTTTTTTTTCCTATTTTTTTTTTTCTTCCAGAGCAGACGCTTTCGGAGGAGCAGCAGCCGCGGACACGCAGGGGCCGAGCTGGGAGGATGGCCGGGGGGCGCCTCCCGGGGCTGCTCTTCCTCTTGCGTGAGTACAGCCGCGGCGAGTCGCGACACGGAGCCCTGTCGCGATGAGGTGGGCGCTGGCGCTGAGACAGCCCCGGCGCTGCTAGAGCACCGGTCCTGCTCCACCGTCACCGGCTGCCCCATCTCCAGTGCCTTCTCTATCGCGACAGAGACGCCCGGTCGCGACAGGGGAGCTTACTCCAGCGGGCTCGGGGGGAGCGGGGGGGATGTTAAGGTGAGCCGGCAGAGGCTTGGGGCAAAAGGCCCCCGGGGCTGCCGCCGCTCAGCGCCTCTCTGCCCGCAGATGCCGCGGCGCGCCTAGCTGCCGAGCAAGAAGTTGAAAATCTCTCCGGGCTCTCCCCTAACCCCGAAAAGGACATTTTCGTGGTGCGGGAAAACCGGACGACGTGTCTCATGGCGGAATTCGCCGCCAAGTTCATCGTCCCCTACGACGTGTGGGCCAGCAACTACGTGGATGTGAGTAGGGGCCGGGGCCGGGGCCGGGAACGGGG